CTTGAACTAGAATCTTTATAGAGTTTTCATCTTTATTTTTCTTAATAATTTTATTTGTACCCTATACTATTAGAACATATTACAAATGTGATCACAAAACATTATACAAAATCTTTCTATTACCAAATTTAGTTACTGCAACTAGGCTCAGGGGTGTAAAAATAAAATAAATATAGTAATTAGGATTTTACCGTTAAGAGTACTGCAAGTCGCGTAGAATGTTCTTTCAATCTTGACCAAACCGTTAATTTTTTACAGAAGAACAAGGTTCTCTAGCTTTTTTTGGACCAAGTCAATACTGTGTGTACAATATATTTGAGTAAAATCGTATGATTCATAGTAATGATAAAATAACCGAAAACAAATACCAAGAGCACAGGAACTACGGTTTTCAACCACAAAGCTGTCTACAAATGTAACAAATTTTATTTTTATTATTTCTATTTTTTAAATAATTACTTTAAGGCTGAAATTAGCGTCTCCTTTACTATTTTAGGCTAGTCGAAATTTTCAGAGACATGCCTATGAAACTCATGACTTTTTCACTGAAGATGGCGTAATGCCGAAACGCGTTTGAATAACTCAAACAAAAAAACCCGCGAGTGAAGACAGACCCAGTAGTGCCCGTGTGCCAGTTCAATATGAGTTCGCCAACTCGCAGACCAAACCCCATCATTTACTATATTTTAGGCTAGTCGAAATTTCCAGAGACATGCCTATGAAACTCATTTCACATGGTACGTTTAATTTTTCTGTTCCAAATTATGTTATTATTATATTATTGTTACGATGATTTGTTGTGCCCCTTTTTAACTGATATCCGTTTATTTCAATTTTAAACTAGAATATTCATATATTTATGAATATGTGTGATTTCTTTAAAATATGCATGTCACGATGCTGAAAAAGCAAATTTTTCTATCTGCCATGGCAGATACAATGAAACGGAAGGTAACAATAGTCTAATCAAAATTGATCATCTGACTATCTGATGACATACATACAAAAGGAACATCCGTTAACAGTCCAAAACCCACAATGGACATAGGAAAATTTTAAAAATATTTATATAAATCTACACTTTGTCTTCTCACGCTAGACAGCTGGCAAATGGATAAAAATAAAGTGATAAAATTAGTTATAACAATACCAAAATAATAACTGAATATTCTCTTAGAGAACTAAAAAAAATTATGGTTGAAAGTTGTAGAAGTCCAAGTTAGATTTTTTGTTAACTGCTCTTCCTAAGATTAATTGATTTATACAAGCCAATTCTCAACGTACATATATACCGAAATGGCTACTAAATATGACTAATCGTTGCCTCAGCAACCTCATGTTTTAGTACTTTTTAACCTAAGCCACTCACACTTATCTTTGTTCCTTTCTACTGAAATACACTCAAGAAGGGTGGTGGAAAACTCAATATTCTGCTATTAGCCATCTCATACTACAAATGCACTCTAATATATACATTCACTATCTCATATAAAACAGGAACACGAAACGAGATATATATCAGTTCAAATACAAGCTGCCGTGCTAGAGCCCAATCCTCATATTACTCTTTCCTACAAATTATCTCATAAAGAGATTTATAGCTTTTCATGAATATCGTTGTTGGTATTAACATTTCCCCCGGTCATAGTTCGCCAGAACATGACATTTAATGTATTCTTATTAAGATGTGTCATCGGAGAAGACGAATGTAAAACGGTTGGTTTTATTTAATTTATATTCCAGATTCGATGTCAAAATATAATTGGATTGCACGAACTTGTAATGGACTATTTTATTTTACAGACACGGCAAAGGAAAAATTATAATTTTTCTTATAATCATCCTACCTGAATAAAAAATTCATTCTTTCATCAGAATGCCAAGGTTCCTTCATGTTTGCTCCCTGTTATATAAAATTGTGAAAAACTGTGAGAATTCTAATATTATTTATCCTAAGAAAAATAATAAAATCCAACTCAGGGGAATGTTTAAACATTGTTAAACATTTTTCAAATATATTTATTCAATTAATTAAGGTTTTTAGTTGAGATAAAAACGTCAATGGCACGAGCGGGATTCGAACCCACGATCTTCGGCCAGATGGCTCTACCACTTGAGCTATTGTGACCTCGATCCATTCGGACACTTTCCCATCTCAACCCCACCTTTTGAATTTTCCCTCCTTTTTGCCATTTTCGAATCCCGCTCGTGCCATTGACTTTTTTATCTCAACTAAAAACCTTAATTAATTGTAATATATTAATTGATCAAGCGGACCACGAAATTAGTGAGTATATTTATTCATAAATTTATGTTGGTTAATTAAATATTACTAATTGTAATATAATTAAAAGCATATTTTGCTGGATTGTGCCGAGACTAAACGTGCTTCAAAATTATCAGTTAAGATTACCCGGCGTGAATGATGTGATTCAAAATTTACATGATTGTTAATAAAATAATTGTAACATAAAATTATAACAAAGTGCGCCAATCTTTTTCGAAGCCCAATAATTAAAAAAAAAAATTTAAATTACTTGTGTGCAGTTACAGTGAAGTGATATTTGAAATCTAGTTAATTCACTATGATCTTCTTGAAAAGGAAAATACTTTATATTCGGAACTGCAATTGCACTGGAAGATCGTTTTTCAATTGTTTTTTATATGAATTAAATAACGATAACGCTAATATGTCAAGCATTTAACGAGCTTGCAAGTCCCAAGGTTAAGAACATCATTTAAAACTAATTTCTTATAATGAAAAGGGCTCTGGCTGAGTGCACGTTCCCTGCATTAGGTCTCAATCTAGTTTTATTCTGCGACACAACATTGCTCTAATTCGTCAGACGACCCTAACGACCTCATTCCCACTTTCTGTCGGAAGTACAAGGGCTACTTTCAAATCCGCAATTCCATGTACGCATCAAACCTCTAAGAGCAGGATGATTAACGAGAACGGTAAAGAAATAGCATTTTTTAGGAAAAATACAAATCTACCTTAATTAATTATCCATTTTTAAGTCGATCTCAGTATTTGTGTCCTTACAAATATGACAAGCTATTACATGATGGCATATCTATGATTAAAACATTAAAAAATACTTTATCAATTCAGATAGTTTGATAAATCAGCTGTACAATGTCGGTAGATGTAAAACCTATGCAAATAATTATTTTCAAAACTATTAATTACTTATTTACGGTGTTGGGTTGTTGGTCAGATAATAGAGGCACCGATCCGTAAAGATGGTCTGCGTTGATAAGGGAACTAAACTACTAGACTATACTTTAAAACTTCACTTCTAATCTTTTGTGTAATTTTAAAATTTAAATCTTTTAAAACAAAATTTATCTTGTAAAACTTTTCCACTTGCCAGTTAACTAAGCCACGTACAAAAAGATTAATTTATTCTGATTATTAAGTCTCTGAATATGTAAAACTTTTCTTTAAAAAGTATATATAGAATTCTGCACTTACCTTTATAATTTACCTTAAGCATACACCATCTATAATATATTTTTTAACATCTAATTGGCGAAAATAATCTTATTGTATTTTAAATTTATTCTATCGGTGTATTATCCTAGATACAAAACATGTTTTCCTAAAACTCTTTCCTCATACTAGCCTGCAAAAATTAGATCAAATTGTACATAGATATCCAAAACTGCAAAACCTGCAACTGTTTTCAAAAATCTTTTATTTAAAAGGGCTTTAAAAATAATCACTATTCTTTTTCTGAATAATTTTTTAAACTTTAAGTTTAGGTTTTTTCCCGGTCGCCTGATATAGAAGATTGTTGAAGTTTTTTTATTATTTTCTTTTAAAGAGTTCCTTTTTATCCTTTTATTTAATTATTATTATATATTTTCAAGTATCACTCTTAACACAACACACAAGAATGACACAACTCGCACAAAACAAACACTTTGAACCCTGAAGATGATCTCAATAAAGATCGAAACGTTGGCACAATCAAGAAAATGTTTTTCTAAACTCTACGTCACACCAGACCCCATCTCACGATCACCAAATAATCATTAACTAAAGGTCACTAAACACCATACATTTTCATTATATTATGAATTATTTGTAGTACATTGAAATTGCACACTACATAGAAACTGCTTTATGTTACTTTATTTGTTTGCATTTTTATTTTATTATTAGTACTTAAATCTGATTTTCTTGAAAATTTCGTTGATAATTGTAAAGTAAAAGTTAAATTGTAACAACTATTTTTAAAATGGTGGTGTTGCTTTTAAGGGAGAATTTATTCCAGACGTTTGTCATAACTTCTGACAAAAATAAAAATATATTATTGACTTTTGACTAGGAACGTGTTGACATAACTCAACAACTCAAGATTCTCGTATTTCTTGTGCCTTGTTTCTATTCGTTGGGAAATTACTTCGAGTATTTTAATATATAATGTATATATTAATGTTAAAAGAAAATTACAGTAATTAACATTCAACCGCGACTTTTTTTACACTTAATGTTTAATAAATTGGTAAAAAAGGTACAAGTTCCAGGTATAATGCAAGTCGACTGTAATGTCATAGTGCGACTAATTTCTAACCATCTTACTTTAAATATGTCCTCTTTTATGTAGAAAACCTTCAAGGGAGAACAGGAAATCCGATGATGAAACTCAACCTCAAGTATGTTGGGTGAAAAATCCCCCCAAAAAATAACAATCATCTAATGGTTTAGTTAGATTTTGAAGGATTTCCACGAAAGAAATGTTTTTATATTGGGAAAAAAAGCATATTATGATTTTCACTGATTGATTCTGCTGCATCTGGGGAAAATGAGTTACAATGAAACACGTTTTCCATGAATAATAAAAAAGAAAAAGTCAAACTGGTTTTATCCAAGAGGCCCCCAGGCCCCCCTTTTCAATACAAACTATCGCATTGAGAAATGTCGACATCAAATTATTGATAATTGTAATAATTTATGTGGCGATTTGGTTTTCAAAACGAACAAGACTTACCTCTGCTGTTTAGCTGTTTCACCTGTGGGACTTACTCATGGACTGATTGGCTTACCTGGTCAGGTGCCGAAAAATCTATGGGAAAAGTGAAAGCCGACCAGGACAAAACGGTTTTATTGCTGTTTGTTTACAATTGCGTAACGGAACCGATAGTTTTACGAGGCCCTTTCGTCCCCTGGCCATAAAACGTCCTCTGCGGCCCTTTGTCCCTAGAAAGGGACACCACTGTCCATGTCCCGCCAATCTGGGCCGAACTCTGAACACAAAAGCCCGTTTTGTAAATATGTAGTAACATTTCGCAATGTTCGTCAGAGCTATAAATTCACTTTCGACCGGCTTCCATTCATTAGTCGAATTATGCAAAATTAACAAGTATTTTATGAATCAGCTTTAGTTAACATATTTTTTCTGATTACTTATAAACTCCCTTACTTTACCATTTCAGAAATGATCGTATCTGTGATTTTCAACAACGGCTTTGTTTGCGTAGTCCCTTGTGGAAATGGGGGGGGGGGGAATTGGAGGCCGCTCTTGTCCGGCTTAAAAGCCGGGAATTGAGTCATTTTCGAAAAGAGGACCTTCTCGTCCCCCTTTTCACCGGCTCTTTTTATTAACATGGGTCCTTTCAATATCCAGGGATAACAATTTGTCACAACGCTTTTGTGAAAGCTACCCCCCTTTCACCTTCTGTCAAAAAGAGGAAAATAATTATGAGATCGAGTTAAATGATATTGTCAAAACTTTAAACTACTGATTTTCTTGATTATCATTCCTCATATCGATGAATTCGAATCTCATTTGTTATATATAGCAAACGGGTTCAGGCTTATAACTTTGACCTCTTGAAATGCCAAAAATGTGTGTACAAAACAACATGTATAAAAGAAATGATAAATATATAATGAGGAATGTAAATGTAAAATTTTTATATCTATTAGGTTTCGTGGTCAGCTTGACCAAATAAATTATTTTCAATTAATTGAGGTTTTTGGTTGAGATAAAAAATTCAGTGTCATGAGCGGGATTCGAACCCACGACCTTCGGCTAAATACGCAGCTGCTCTACCACTTAAACTGTCTTGAATTCGATCCGTTCGGACACTAACCTCCCACATCAACCTCACCTCTCGAATTTTCCCTCCTTTTTGCCATTTTTCAAATGTCGGGTAATCTATTTGATTCTTGGCGACAAATTAAATGACCTCGGGGAGCTTTCGTGAAGATACTTCGGTTTTGGTTGAGATAAAAAAGTTATATATAAAAAATATATAAAATTTATCTCAACCAAAACCTTAATTAAATAATTAATTTAAAACAATTTATTTTGGTCAATTAAAAGATTAATTTATAATATATATTGGACGATAGTCAATAAAATTCTTTGTATCAGAGAACACAGAGAAGAAGAAAGTTAACCGATTTCCATTTATGAAAATCGTTTCTTCTTTGTTCCTAAGTTGCAATATCTGACTTGTAGGTTCTCAAGTAACAGATGGCCACCATCACACACAAGTGTTTGAAACAGTCCTTATAAACACTGGTCCAGGTTTGCCCACCCAAGTGTAAATGTTTAGCGTTCTCAACATCCTCTCTGCCGCGTCTAGTGTGTTTTGACTTTGTTTTAAGAAACGATCGAGAATTTAGCATTCTGTAAAGATTCTGCAGTCCGACAGGGGCAAATTTATAACGGATTGATTGGGTTCAATATTCTTTTGTTTTTCCAAAGGTGGAAGAGGAATTTGTAAACTGTCCAGATGAAAATTAATAATCATGATTGCAATCAAAATGTAATTCAATTTTTTTAAAAGTTTTATTATTTGGGATGAAGCATGAAAACGACAGAGTAAGGAAGCGTAACGTTTAGAAACTTTTCGAATAATAATAAATAATAAATACCAGTTATAATATTTTAAAATTTAGGGTCTAAACTGACTTATTATTGATTTCATTTTATAAAAACGATCCTTAGACATCATTTCTGTAAGAAGTTCACAATCCCTTCAAGTTCACAACATAAATCAGCCCTAAGTCCGCTTTTCTTTTGGAATTTAATAACAATGTTTTCGCTGTGCTCAATTCATGATACGATTATAAGAGTATAGTAGGATGCAAGGTGTAGTATTATCCAAGCACTGAAGACATGGCTTTTTGTGCTTTTCCTAGTTCCTTAGATCTGTTCAATTAATTCAATCATTCTTTTAAGAATTGGTAGGGACTATCAACACACCAATCTTTCGCAGTTTATGTTGTGAATGTGTTTTCTCAGATGTCAGTGACTAGTACATAGTTTTATCACTCTATTGTAGCAATGTGCTTGTCATTTTTAGGAAGGGTTCTTTAATCTGTCCGGCACCTCTGGAGTGCTTTCGATATTCCGTATGTTTTTTGTGGACCCTATAGAGGAGTCTATGTTTGATCTTGTTATCCCTCGTATAGGTTCTAGGGCTATAGGCTATACACGATCATCTACTGGACAGTTTATTTACTATTAGTTACCTATATTTCTTTTGTGACCAAGCACCCAAGATTTTAAATGCAGTCACCAATTACTTTGTACCTGACATTTTACGTGCTTTTACGGATAGCTGGCTTTCTGATGGTAGAGTATGTTTTTGCTAGTGCAACTTCTTTTACGATTTTCCAGGGGACAATCATCGACAGCATGTTTTTCAGCTCAAACAGAGGTGTACTTTCCTAATGAATTTGATCGCTCGTATTTTATTCAGCCCCTATGCTGGTTTTAACGCTATCTGCTTAACATATAATTGTATTTGATTTTATTCTGATTTTTTCTGATCCTTATTAGTCTGGTAAAACTAATTAGGATGCTGGAAAAGATGTTTCCACGATGGTAATCCGATTTCTAAGGTCTGGTTTTGTTTGTTATTGTTGTATGCCGGAAATATTTTCTATCGTTACACGTTTTCAAAGGAGTGGCCAATCTTTGCATACAACCTATTTTTTGGATAACTGTTTTTTTTTTCTAACGTTCACCATTTTAATGAGCCATAGGATATCTTAGGTTTCATTACATCCGATTATAGCCAATTTTCGGTTTAAGTTCCTGCGGTTTTTCTTGTTATCATTGGAGATATCCATTGTTATATTTGCAGATAATTAATTTTTATCTCAACTAAAAACCGTAATTAATTGAAATATATTAATTGGTCAAGCGGACCACGAAACTAGTGAATTGAATAAGTTTAAATGAGGAATACCTTCACTAAAGCTCTCCCTGGCTATTTCATTTGTAGAGAATAGAATCAAATAGATTACACGACATTTGAAAAATGGCAAAAAGGAGGGAAAATTTAAAAGGTGGGGTTTAGATGGGAAGTTAGTGTCCGAGTGGATCGAGGTCACGATAGCTCAAGTGGTAGAGCAGCGGCCTATCTAGCCGAAGATCGTGGGTTCCAATCAACTAAAAACCTTAATTAATTGAAATATATTAATTGGTCAAGCGGATCACGAAACTAGTGAATTGGAGATATTATTGGAGATGGTTGACAGCAATCCTTTTCGACCAATGAATTGATAAACTCACTCCACGTTGGTTAATTCTATATTCTGTTTAACCCGAGCTCGACGACCGTTCAGAATTGATCGACGTTCATCACTTGATCTCGGATCAATAGAGATTGAAAAACGCCGATATTTGTGTTGAACTCCGTTCAGTACTGAACCAAGGTTAAACGAAGTTGGTGCAACGGGCCCTTAGTGTTATTTTGACTTAATCTTCATCCATTTTACACGAATTATTTTTGATTGAGGAAATTATTAGTGCAATAAAAATAATGTATTAAATCTTATTTTAGAAATTCTCCATAAATTAAGCTAATATTTAACAATTAAATTTGTTTTCTGGTAATTGTCAACCTGGTTCTTGGTTTTTAGACATACAATTCTTGTTTTCATGGCCAACTATTTCAAAGAGTATTTTTTATAAAAAATCTAATTTTAATGAATATTGAAGTGTAATATGTTTTATTCAAGATAAATCAATGTAAAATGTCGGCTATATAATATCCCTGATCTCACCTTTGTGCTTTTTGCCCTTTTTTTTTTACTAGCATTGTTTATTTGTACTAGTACTTCCTTTTTCTATTTTTTGAGTCCTAAAAAGTTTTATCCCCACTAGCTAATTGCCGTACTAGATAATTGAAGAAAGACGGAATCGGAACAATAATTCCAGAAGGATGACCTCGTTAGAGGATTAAATTCAATTAAATCACTCCTCAGCGGCTGGTCTAATTGAAAGAAAAATAATTAAAGACAGCTGTAAAATGACTGTTCATGCCCATGCCAAGGAAGGAGCGGAAAAAACTGGGATGGGGTGAGGCGGTTGATAAGTTATGGAGGGCAAAAACCGAATTACTGGTTCTGTTATTGTTGTAAGCAATTAGAGTTTATCGGAGCGAATAATTGGTGACTGCCAGCTGTTAGCCCTCTGTATCAACACGACTCCGTTGGGGCCATCGTTGAAAATATATGACTCTATCCTTTCTCACAAACGTTGTCGACGCAGCATCGGTGCTCTGACCAGTGCCAACATCATCTAAATTAACCGATGATGAATTAATTTAGATTAACTGGTATCTACCTTTTATCTTCCAAGTTAAATAAAAAATGCAATTTGAAAACGTGAAGGAGGGTAAGAATGATATTTTGCCTCAGAATTTTGCTGGTCTTTGAACGGATAATAATTTATACATTGCCTAGATCAGTTTTAAGTTAATGTCCTGTAATTAAAAGTAAATGTACCCTCTGTAGTAAGTTTATCCGCCACTACGCAATATTCTAAAATGGTAAAAATTTACTTACCTCTCATTTCTGTACTACTCCATTTTTTCTGTAAACGGATATTTTATTACTAACATCATAGAGTTCAATTTTTTTAAATAAAAAACAAAATAAAATCTGTAATTTTTGGCTAAAAATTTAGAATGGTACAGAAATGAGAGGTAAAATAAATTTGACGATCAGTAGTCATGAATTTTGGAATTGGTTCATAATATTTTGGATTACATTTAACCTTAACAAATGTTACTGTCATTAAAAATTCTAATCCATTTATGTTTCAGTGGTCAATTGACCAAGTTACTTCTTTCAATTAATTATGCTTTTTATGTAATATCTTGGTTGAGATAACAAAGTCAGTGTCACAAGCGGGATTCGAATCGACGGCCTTCGGCTAAATACACCTCTGCTCTACCACTTGAGCTATCGTGACTTCGATCCTCTCGGACAATAATACAAATACTACTGAG